CAAGTCCTTCTCAGCAGGGCTGCTCTCCATCTCTTCACCCCCAGCCTGTCCTGATACTGGAGGTTGCCCTGACCCGTGTGCAGGACCTTGCACTTGGTGGAACTTCATGAGGTTCACACGGACCCACTTCTCCAGCCTGTCCAGGTCCCTCTGGAGGTCATCCCTTCCCTCTAGCAAATCAACCCTACCACGCAGCTTGGTGCCATCTGCAAATTTGCTGAGAGTTCACTTGATTCCATTACGCCATTGATGAAGGCATTAAATAGTTATTGGTCCCAGGACAGACCCCTGAAGGATGTGACTGGCTACTGACCTCCACTTTGGAGAGGCAGTTATAATAGATGTAAGGTATTAACAGACAATAAAAATATTCTGGGATTTGGGGATCCTCAGATCATAAATGACCCACTACTGTTTCCAGTATAATTTATGTTCAAGTGCATGAGAAAATTCCAGTTGCAGGCATTTTGGAGCTAAAAAGGCCATCTAAATCCACCGGGTTTTCTCTAGTTTTAAGGTGGTGGCAGGGAGGCATCTAATAGCATATATCTATTTCCATATTCATTTGGGCAGTATTTCAAGGGCTTTTGAAACTGTAACACAGAAAATGTTTTGGAAAATGGTATTTTGTGTAAAAGTGGGGTTTTTTCTTCATGGAGTTGGTAAGCCAGCAGCGGGTAATGGCTGTTACTGCCTGTCATTCCTTACAGCTGGCCTTTCCTCGTGAGAGGTTCGCTACGCTCAGTAGCAGTTTTGGAGTCTCTAGCTGGATCAGGAGTGTTTGCAGTAATATTTCACAAGAACTCAGGTGTACTGGAAAAATCAGATTTCTAAACTTGCAGCATGATGGCTGCCTGCTCTTGCTCCAAACTAGACATCACCTGTGCCTGCCAGGATTGTGCAGATATGGGACATTAAATTTCTCACCCACTCTGGTATTGAATATAATCTCATGACTATATTTTGGCTGTATCTTCTGTTGTACAAGGCACCATGCCAGTCATCGTGTACCTCACCTACCCAAGGTCCTCTTCTCCAAGGAAAAATTACTCATGACAGAACTTAAACAAAGATATCTTACCTGGAATTCTGTTAAAAAGACAATGTTTGGATGTCTGTCTCCTTGGATACCTATGAAAAATGTTCTTCTTCACCTGGGAATGGGGAAGGGAGCAGGTGTGTGTGTCAGAATCTCATAAAACTTTACACAAATTCATGTAAAAATAAGTCAGGGTAGATATGGAGCAGGATGCAGAAGAAAATTCATGAGCTGCAAAGGGAAAAAAATATTCTTGTATGATGGTGGAAAGGAAGAAAGGATTCCTGAAAAAGAATCATCCACTGCTACAAAGGAAGAGGGTACCAAGTCAGTGCAATGAGTCTTCCCTGGCGCCTTTTTGACATGGATGTGTCACAGCTACCAAGCAGGCCATGGTGTCTCATCAGCGATTTTTTATGCTTGTTTGGTGTAAAATCTCTGAAGAAAACTGCTGGGATTTCACATCCCCTTTAATTTATTAATTAACTGAGAGTAGGCAGCCTGAATCCTTCATCCCTTGCATCAGACTGCCCTTCAAGATCAAGTTGCAGCGGTGGGTGATGTAATCCAGGTTGTGCTGGAAAAACTCCTGGAGGATGAGGTCCTATGAGAAATGGGTGTCTGGTGGCTTCTAGTCTCCAGAGTCCCTTGCACTCCATCTTCCAGAGGCACATGGACATCCAACTTTTCTTGAAATAGCAGATGCGATGGCTGGAGCATCCACAGCGTTTCCAAACCGCTCCGCTGTGCTGCGTCGCGATGCATCGGGAGCCCACAGGGTCACATTTTCACACAAATTGTGGCGTGCAAAGTCAGTTGTGTGCAGATGATGGATGAGCAGCTCAGGGCCCTGGCTTGACAGACCCTCTGAGGGCTGAAATCACAACTCTTAGATGGGATGTTTCCAGCTTTTCCTGCCTGTAGGGCCCAATGGGGTCAGGGCACCACCACCAAGGGGGAATACGCACGTGTCCGTCCCTGCAGGATGTGGGGTGACCTTGGCTTCACCTCATGAATCTACCTTGTTCTCTGCACCCCAGCTGACGGCCCCCAGCCCGCGGGTCAGGTTGGTGAAGCAATCTCGCTTCCCCCAGCAATGACTGAGCCCCTGAAAAGGGCATCTGCAACCCATGAACTGTAGGAGAGCATCAGGTACCAGGGACATCCTGCAGGCTAAAGCCGGGGACGCGCGACCCAGCCCAGATGTGGCAGGGTGCGGAGATTCTTTGGATGGGGTCCCCCCAGGTACCACCTTTTGTTGGTACTGAAGCAGCTGTTATTGTGGGTGAGCCTCTCCTCTCTTCACTCTTCTTGGGATGCCATTAGGTGTCGGACAGCCAATACTTTTCAACACACACATGTTTCCAAAGACTTGTCCATCCACTTTTGGGGAGATTTGAGTGGCGCCCAGTGCCTTGTTCAAATAAAAAGAGCGTTGCTGACCCATGCATCTAATTGCGAAGCCTGCATCCACAAAGACTTTGACTTCAGCAGGTCTTACAGCCTTGGTGACTGAGCTCAAGTTTTCAGTCTTTACTGAATGAAATTATTTATGAGAAAAGTTCATTTTTGGGAAGCTGCACCTTGATGTTAGCTGTTTTTTTCCATGCTTGCAATCATAATGCATACTTAAATGTAAGTGCTCATGGTCTGGCTCATAAAGGCATTCTCTGTTCAATTCTTATTAGGTAATGCAGCTATTAGGCAAGATAGAGACTTCCAACTCTGATCAAAGCTCGAATCTAAAGACAGTCCAGGGAGACCAACATCACGAATTGCAACTTCTGGATTTCAAGTAGGTGATGGAGGGTTTTTCATTATGATAATTCACCCTGAATGCTTTAGTGTGATGAACAGGTTGCCATGAAACAGCAAAACAAACCCATTAATTAACATCCATTCAAAACACTAAGAGAAGGTTAATGAAGATCTATGCCATAAAATAATGAAAATACATAATGAAAGCATATTGTCTTGCAAGCTAATTGTTAAAATGAAGCACTAAATGCCACCCTGTAAGAAGAAAAGTATGAAACCAATTAACTTTCCATACTTAAAAGAAAGACAGCAAATACAAAGACACTATTTACCATTATAATTGGGGCTAATTTGTGATTTGCCTAATGTGCAGAACAAGATATTTTCTTTATGCGCTTGCACCATCTGCCCATTTCGGAGACAGCCACCCAGTGCAGGGGTGCTGCTGAAGAAAGGCAGGCACAAGGCAAAAGTGATTTATTCTTTTCTTATTTACCTAGTATGTTTTTACTGTTCCGGATGCAGAAGTATCCTTAGGGTGCCATTTTAATTTTGATGAGTTTTAGAGAGGACGGAGCTCTGGGGAAGGATGCAATGAACAGAAGTGTCTGGCATCCATATTCAGAACAATGCAAAACAGCCCAGCATTGAATAGCAGACACAGGACAAATAAGTGAAAATCTAATTATAGTAATCCTGCAACAATGATATTTCGAAGGCAAGAGTTCCACTCCTTAAAATGGGGAAGTATTTGAATAAAGACTTATTTTGATTAAGATTTTATCTGAAATGTATTCAGAAGTAAAAATAGGCTAGAACTTTGAACAGAAGAAAGTTCTTCTCAAGAGAATAGGAAAAGGAATCGGGGTGAACAGGGAAATAACACCTAAATTGGGCAACGAATAAAACTGGGAAAAGGGAAGGTGAAATAAGAGGCAGAGATCGGTGAACAATGGAGACCAAGATGATGTGAAAGGGACAAGAAATGAAACCAAAATAAGAGGGAACAAAGAACAGAACAACACCAGAAAAGAAGGAAACTGGAAAACTGAATCGAAGTAAATGCTGAGTTTCTCAAAAGTTAATGAGACCTTACTGAAATGGTAATCAGAAATAAGAAGCTTGACAAGAGATGGCTTTCAAGACACTGAAATGTGCTGGTATTGTGTATTTAACATAAAATACAAAATACTTATTTACCAGACATTGAGATTTTAATCCAGTTCATATAAAATCTAATTAAAATAGCATGCCCTTTGGGGAATGTCTGTCTCCTTTTATATTGGTCCTTTAAAAGTCTACCAGATTTATGTATTCTTTTTATAGAGCTGAAATAAAATTTAACTTCTGGAACAGACTGGAGCTTCTGCATAAAACTTGGCATGTTTAAATCAGCTTTAAAGCCTGAAGTTATCTCCTCACTTGACATACCGCTGTCTGGGCCCCAGTTGTCTTTGACTGCAGGCTGGCAGTTGTATTGCAGAAGTACAAACTGCTGTTATTAACCAGAATTGCAAGAATTTTAAACATATTTCAGGATTTCATAGGGGTTGTGCCTTGCTCAGAAATTTGGCCCTTCACAGGGGAGTGGATGCTTATCTCTTGGGGTCAGCTGGGTTGGAGTAGCTGCATTCACCTGCTCAAAGTCAGTTCAGCTGCCAATAGATCTGTTTTCACATGTGAAAATTTATTGTAGCATTACTGGAGTACGTTCTTAATAAACATCCACAAGTATCCCCTTATTAATATTTCAGGCTTTACTGGGCCAAAGACTATGGTGAATCGCCTGTCTCTGGAGCCTCGCTCCTACTAGATATGTTTTTGTAAGCTCAATGAAGGAGGGATGCTCATTGAAGAAAGTTTAAAATAAAATAAAACTTTATACTCTTTCATGATGAATAAGAAATAATTAATGTCATAACAAAAATATTAATATTATTAATACTAATAGTAGTAGTATTATTTATTAATCATCATCTTGCCACTGTCAAGTGTGCCCCTCAAGATGTGCACCAGCACCTTCATCCTCCTCAGCAGAGCCACACACCGGCTGCAGTTCCCAGGATTCACATCCCAAAGAGACTGTTGTGATCATTTGGCCTGAACCACGCAGGCCATGTAACCTCACGGAACTGCTGGTGTGGTTTGTAGCAATCATTTTCAGTGTCTGCTAAATAACTTTCTATAAAGTCAGTTATTTCTGCAGTTCTCCCCCAAAGCAGACTTTGCCAAATCTTTCCCAAGTTGCCTAAACAGAGTCTCAAATAATTATTTTTTAGGTTTAAAGATTTCCTTCTTCTCCCTTTTCCAACTTTGGAGAAATTGAAGTAAAGTCAAACACCAGCTGCCAGCCAAACAAAGTTTGGGTTTGAGCCTTTGAACAAAGCTGGCCATCAGTTCCATTGTTCATGGTTAATTCATCTTCACCCATTAAACGATATTCCCCAAATTTGTTCGGTAATCTTAACGCAAACAATGGCATGAGACCTTTGTTTTATGCCTGGTGGATTAAAATCTCGAGATTACAGACATATATATGAAAATAACCACATGAAAGATCTGTCTGAAGAGGTTCCAGTCCTGTAGTTGCTGCCGTGGTGGTCGAGCAGAGCTGTAACTCCTATAACGACCAGCCCGTTCGCCAACCGCCAGGCACGATGATCCTGTGCCTACAAACAATGACCTTGGGGCAGGCAGCAGTGGATTCAACCGAGCGCTGTCTCCACCCCTACCTGACCTTTCCAGAACACGGTTTGGGTGGTGATTCCTGTTATTCCCATCGGATGGCTCACTGTTAGGTCTGAGAAAAGCTCTTTGCACTTTCCCTCCCTGTGCTCGGGTTGGATACCGGTCCATATCATCAGCGCACTGTCACAGTGTTTGTTTTTTGCCTCATGAACAAAGACTAGTGCTCCAGGAAGCAAACTCTGTGTGCATCATGTTCACACACGCATGGTAGGACTAAAAACTCAGTACTGCTCAGGAGGATGGAGCCGGGCTCTTCTCGGTGATGGCCAATGACAGGACAAGGGGCAGCAGGTACAAACTGGAGCACAGGAGGTTCCACATTAACATACGGAAAACTTTTTCCCTGTGAGGGTGACAGAGCGCTGGAACAGGCTGCCCAGAGAGGTTGTGGAGTCTCCTTCTCTGGAGACACTCAAAACCCACCTGGACACATTCCTGTGTGACCTACTCTAGGTGGTCCTGCTCTGGCAGGAGGGTTGGACTAGATGATCTTTTGAGGTCCCCTCCAACTCCTGACATTCTGTGATTCTGTGATTCTTGGAAAATCAAATCTCAGAACTACTAAAATGAGTAATAGTGGTAAACTGACCTGACAGGCTGCTTATGTAGACCTTGAAAGGACACTGTCTACAGCAAACTGCGTATCACTTAGAGAGATTTTGTGCAATTAACAATTTTTACCACATTTACAGTAACTGCTGATGGTAATTATCACTTCATTAGACTGATACAGAGCTGTTATCAATCACTTGGTATAAAAACCACTTTAACTCAAACACCTTTTTGAGAAGTGACATTAAATACTGGAAGTACTGTAAGCACGAAGCCTAGTTATAAAATCCTGCTCTTTACCTCTTGGTTTGTATCCTAACTGAGGCCCAAACAAATTTCAAGTGATCACTGTTTGCATACAAGCATGTGTTAGAAATTAATACAATTAGATTAAAATTTTTCGCAACACTCCTACAGTCAAGTCATATGCATAAGCATGAATATTTATATATGTGACTACAACTTGGATCTGAGTTCATGTCATGTCACGGTTCACGTAAATTACATGCTGCAGCATAAGACGAGCAAAATCTAACTGCTACAGTTCCCTTGAACTTGACGTTTTGCAGATTTGATCCGCCTGCTCACCACGCTGGCCTGTGGTTCCCCGCCTCCTCCAGGTCCCGCCTGCTCTGCTCCCTTTGGGTGGGCTTTCACATCTCTATCCAGCCACTGCCTCGAAGACAATCCTGCATGCTCCTTTTGTTTTAGTTATAAACTTTTTTTTTTATCCTCATGAACTTCATTTTCAAACCGCAAGTGATTTTGCTGCTCTCCCCCAGGCCCAGCAACGCAATCGATGTTCAATGCGGTAGTGTGGTTTCTTCATTCGCTTCGAACAGAGTTAATTCAAATGGGAAATAAACATTTTTCAGCCCTCAGATATTTTCCTAAAGTAGACCACACTCCAGAAATGACATTTTGGCATGTAGGCACAACCTTCGAGGTAAGGAATAATAAAATAATTGAGATTAGGGGCTTGTTAGGAAGTGATTGAGGAGTTTTGGAGTAATTTAAACAATTTACTCAAGTGACTCAAGACTCCTCCGTAACACTGACTAAGCCTTAGTCTTGTTACTAAAAAAATAACCATAATTTTAGGTTGACAAGTACTCTAAGTGACTTGAGGGATCAGATACAGACTCATCGGAAGCGGACAGAAGCGCAGCTGACACGGTCTGAGGAAGATCAAGCCCAGCACAGGCATCGACTGCTTAACTCGGTGCAGGACAGGCTGGTAAGACTTGCCAGGACAGCAGCTCGGGGCACTGGGGTGGGCTCCAACCCTGCCAGCACTGCTTCCATCACCGTGAGCCCAGCGGGTCCCAAATGGTACACACAAAAACCAAGATCTAGCACAAATCCAGGTGCCTTGCGACATGGCCAGCAAAGAGATGAGTTATAGAAAGCATGTGATCATTGATTAATTTATTTTGGAAGGGATATCTGGAAGTCATAAGGCTTAACCCCTTGCTCAAACAGGGCTCGAGCCTCATCCCAGTGGTTTTTGTTTCTGAGGATTCATTGAGATCCCACAATGCTCTGGGCATCCCAGGAGATAAATTCTTCCCTGATTGTGGCACCAGTTCACCTCTGTAGCCCTGATGTACCTGGCAATGGCATTTCCCTGTCCCAGGGTGAGCATCAGTGCCACCACTGAACAACACCCAGTTTCATTCATGGATAAGTGCAGAAAAGGAAGCGATCGCCTGCACAAATTCTGCCTGGTTTTGAATACAGACAAAACCTCACCACCCTGCAGTCAGTACATTGAAACACGGTGTGTTTCAGTTCCACAGCAGCAGTTAGCGCTTGGCACAGGACCAATGCCTTTCAATTAACTACTTCACAGCTTTTAAAGCTCTTCCTCGTTTGCTGTGTGCAGCTCATTTCGCTTCAGAGTTCAAAAGCAATCGAAACATGATCACGACGTCTTAACGCCAGGATGAAGGTTGCCGATCAAAGACCAGATTCAAAAGTTGACTGGAACTAAAACACTCCTGATCTTTAATCTCCATTTATTCTGCCTGATGATGGTCTCTCTTACTCAACACAATCAACACTTAGAGCAGCCAGGAAGATATAAAAAACATTTCTGACTTGCCAGCTGCTATCCCAAAGCTACCGTTTGAATTCCCTTCCTCCACTAACAGTTTTTGTGACTATTTTGCAGAAAACACACCGAGTGTATTGCAGAAAATACACCTCAGCAGTGTTAGGTTAGCAGCTGGACTTAATCTTAAAAGTCTTTTCCAACCTAAATGATTCTATGGTTCCATATATGTGGTTACTCTCCCCTAAGGGAGACTGCTGTGCCAAAAATCACAATGTCAACAGGAGTTTAGGCTTTCAAAGCCACTCTTAAATACCTTGAATAAGGAATGCATTTGTCTTCTGTGTGTGCTTACACGTGCATGGTGGTCCTCTGTGGAAGCACAGCTCAGTCCTTGGAGAGAACGACTGCTGGAGAAAAGCAGTTGGAGATGAGCTTCAGGAGGGCACTCATCCCCACTCGGCAGCGCTGGCAGCTGCCTTCAGCACCAGTCCCGCTCATGTCCTTTCGTTGGACTGAGGGCACACGCAATCCCGTGTGAGGCCAGGGCTGCAGTGACCTGGAGGCGTGATGGGTCTGGCAGGCTATGTGCTGGTGATGGGGCTGTTTTGGGAGTGCAGAGCAGCAGCTCAGTTATCGCCGGAGCTGCTGCTCACTCCATCAGCCACCTGTACTGCTCGGAGCATGTCCCACCACCGTGCTAAACTCTGTTTAGGTCCAGACAGCTCTGCCAGGTTTGCAAACACCTTCTTTGGGAGGCAGAGCCATTGTCTCGGGCCCACAGGGCTCCCTTGGGCTGCAAGGGCTAAAGAAGGTCGGAGGATTTTGACCATGTTGACCGGATTTGGAGTTGACCAGAGGGCTCGGTGCACATTGAAGACCAAGGAAGGGGTGGGGGGCTGCACAGCTCGGGTTTGAGCATGCCTCTGAGGAGGGGGAATTGCCTCCAAGAGCTGTGTTGAGCTCAGAAGAGGCAGAGGACTGCTCGCCCTCCCTCAGTTAGGTAGTTCTTACAAGGCTCAGCCTCCTTCTTCACGCCAGCAGCTGAGCTGGGTTTACACCACAATGTTGCACCCCTTAGGTCAGAAAGCCGAGGCGGGCACATGAAAGCAACCTGAAACAGGTTGTTTGAGTTCCCAGTCTCATACTGCAAAATGTGACAACAAATCACTGGATTGACATGAACAATCAATAAAATAGCAACTGAAAAAAAAACAAAAACAAAGGCACTTTCGTCCTGGCCCAGCCCAAATTTCTGAGTTTATTTGGTTCGCTGGGGAGGAGAGGACTGACGTATCCTCCGGGGTGCCAGACCTTACCTGCATTTATTCAGTGCTGTCACACATGAGATTAGGGAATGAGACCGCCTGAATGCGTGGCTGGGAGGAGGCAGGTTAATGTAGGCAAATGTAAAGTGTCTTACTATAAACTTGTGTTATGTATTCAAAGGAAAGAGCAGAAAAAAGAGTAGAAGAAAAGCTCCTACTTCTGTCACTAAAGCTAGAACAAATGGATAAACCACAGAAATACGAAAAGCAGCTGAACCAGAAGAAAAGTGATGAAAAAAACCTGCATGCAAGAATCACCAGATTTGAAAGACAGGTCTGGAAGGAGCTTCAGGAAATCCAAAACGAATACAGATCAGGTGAGGATGGGCTTTCATGCCATTTATTTCTAAAATAAATTTCTACAGTAACTTGCTGCTCCAGAAAATACTTTCCAGCAAAGACAGACATTAAAATGACTCTCTCTCCCCCAGATTCCATACACAAAGGTCTATGGGTTGGCCTGCTTGTCTTTGCAAACAGCCAACATGACATTTGCACACAGGTTGCTTTCTCTTCCTAAGAGTCTCAATTTAGAGTTCATTTAAAAGGCAATTTCACAACCTGTTTTCCACATTTTTTAGAGCACCTATTTCTTCTGTTAGCAAGGTCCCCAACCTTTGCTGGGAGGCATAAGCTGTTCCCTTTTGCACAGATTCTGCTGCTGAGGTGGTGTTTGATGGTTTTCTATCATTTCCGTCCTTTACTCCCCATTCTGAACCAACGGTAGCTGCAGAAAGAGGCATCTGGACGAGTTACAGTTACCCGACACAGACCGTACGTTGTGCAAGCAAGGAGGGAAGCAGCTGGATGCCATCGCTGAATGCTCGGCAGCGGCTCCATATGGGGGCAGTCACAGTCATGCATCTCACAGAGCATGAACCACTTTACCAATCTGAGATGATTGATCCCAGCTGTTCAACATTCAGCAGCCATTAGAAAGGCTTCCACCTGGCACTACACACATGGCCTTCACAAGGAAGATTTTTGCCCACTGTGATTGACCCTGTGTCACTCAAACCTGGTCCACTGTAATACCCTCTGCTTGCAGCTGGTCATGGAAACACAGTGGACACATCAGCTTATCCCAAAAAAACACTCGGCCCTCTCTCCAAGGGAACAGATGGCTGAAAATGATCACACAAGGGCTTCAGGTCCTACATTGGCTCACGTGAAACTCAAGTGTATGTCTCCCATCTTCTGAGATGCCTGCGACAGAGGACCTCAGCTCTTTACTTCAGCTCCCATTCCTTCATCATCTGCAGCCCACCTACAAGCCCTGCTCCAAGGCTGTAGCAAACCAAGCTCTACATTAGCTAAGATCTTTCTGCAGCTTGGCACAGGAAGGCTTGGCCTTCTACAAGACCACCGAGTCAGCGCGAGACAGCATCTCAAAGCAAGCTGTGGCTAAGCAATATCAGAATAAAAGATTCTGGTGCTGAAAGGAGAGTTCTCAACTTTGAATTCCTGCCTGCAGAAAGCAATGATAGAAGAGATCTGTTTGTACCAAACTTTGGCCATGCTTGGTGTCCAAACGCAAGCCCAAGGATTGCTCTTTCCCATGGCAGTCCTCTGGCAGGGGCTGACGCCTGAAAAAAGGGAAAAAGGGGCTACTGAGGTAGTGTGGAGCAGCACAAAGGGCACAGAGGCAGCCTTCAGACTGTCTCAGCAGATGTTTGTGCTTCAGGTTGGCATCCTGGAAATGAGACACATGTCTGGAACTTATAAAACTCTGAGCGGTATGCAGTGATTTGGTTGAATGCCATCTAGACTATAGCAGTGACAAAATTAATACACATTAAACAACTGTTCCAAAAAGAAAAACATGTCATCAGCTGTCATGTTATAATAAGCGTTTTAAGAAAAACAAACCAACAAAAAAAGGCGAGAGGAAGAGAATTAATTTTAATTAACTGTTAGGCTGCTTGCTTGCTAATAAGGTAACACCTATGGGACACATTGGACAAACGTAAAGAACTACAACGTTGGAATATAAAAGTTATTGCAATCTGGAAAGATCGAGGTAGTAGCAGCTTACAATTCCACTTTTCCAGTATTTGTTGACAATATTTGATAGTACAGTGACCAAAGTAAGGGGCATGAGGCGCTCTGTAGCTCTGCCTTGGAAAGAAAGTGTGTCTGCACGCTCCCCTCTTTCTTTTTACAGACCTGCATACAGGTGCACTAACACTGAGCAGGTGAAGCTGAGCTCCTCTTCTCCCTGAAGCACATGACAAAACAGGGTCCATGTCGGATGAAGTGTAATTTGTGTTTGCAGTCGCTACAGCTTCCGGGAGATCTGTGGTTCAAACGTGCTGTCTGGTAGGCAGGCGGCAGAGCAACAGTGTCAGTACCCGATGGGAACACAGAGTCTTTGATTTAAGATAAGGGCTGTGGACTTAAAAGCGCCAAACCAACCAAAAACCCCCAATGCTTAATGACAGGAAAATATGCTTGAAGGGTAACAACACCCTTGGTTTTAAGGATGACGGTATTATCTTTACTCCACACCACAAATCCGATGTCAGTGGTAGTTTATGGCTATGTGTAATCATGCCTGGTGTTGTCCAACATATTCCAACGATTCCTACAGCAAGGAGCTTGCTATCCAAGCTGCTAATGCATGCCCATGGTATTTGGATTTAATGTGCTTTGTGTTAAACATGGGTCAGAAACCTTTACCAAAAATAAATATAAAAAAAAAAGACTCTTTTAATGTATCGAAAGCAAATCAAAATCAAAACACTATTCAATTAATTGTTCCTATTCTTCTACCAGGATTTCAATCCATTCATGAGTCTCTGGAGCTGCTGAAACAAATACAGAACACACAGCTGAAACTTGAAAAAAAGAAAATTCAGAAAGACATGAAAAAGAGACAATGAAAGTGACTTCTCAGAAGCCCGAACATCGAGAGCAAGCCTCGTCCACTCTGGCAGGTGCTCTCTCCAGTGAGAAGCAGCATCGCATTAAAGAGAGCAGTCGCCTTTAGACACACCTGATTTTGCTTCCCCCTGCCCCCTGTGCTAGTTATGGTATTGCACAGCCACAAATGTAACAACTCTGTAGCACCAACAGTCATTTTCACACCAACTTTAAAAGAGTACTTCACTGTAGAAGAAAAGTTAAACTTCAAGGATTGACTTAAAATTTTACAAGCAGATTTCATACAAAAGTATTCATAGCATGTAAAGGACTTTTAAGAAAACAAGTACTCAGTTATCAGGTGTGGCTGGCCCAGTCCTGCCATAAGCCACATCAGTTTTTAAACTATTGAAATCAGGTCTGGTAAATTCCTCCAGGCGCACACAAGGTGCATGTAGTAACAGCATTATGAAAACTGGTATCAGAATATCTACGATGCATGATTTGGAACCATTATAATAAATTACTGGATGACTAAAAGGAGTTAATAAATGAGGTACAGGTGACAAAATGCAAGTTAACTATTAGAAGATGCATTATTAAGACAGTTTATTTCTCATCTTCCCTGACAGAATAAAAGTTAACGGTGGTTTGCAGTAGAAAGCTCCAAAACGTAATTGACATTGTGAGTTTTGTTTTGCTTCAAAAACAAGAAAAACAATCTGGAAATATGGAGAAAACCTCTGGGTGTAGGGCAAAAGAAACACACCAGTATAATTTCCCATCTGAAGCTAATATGACTTCTTTAGCAGCAAGGTCAAAAAAGGTGGTCACGGTGCAACTCAAACATAAACCTGAATTTCTATCAGTACTTTTGTTTCCAGAAAGCCCGATACTGACCATTGCCCAGAGGAGAAATTCAAAAGGGCTCAGATAATTCTCCTCCAATAATTCGTGTCTCAAATCTGTTGTGCTTTTCGCTCTACGAGGAAGTAGGTTTCTTGAGGCCACGGATTTCAGGCGGCTTCTCTGAGAAGCCAGACCTGCAGAGCGTTTTGGCTGAAACCGAATCGATGCAGTTGGTAGGAATGCCACCTTCAGCCATTAATCATGTTCCTCCTGCGGGCAAATCTTGGGCACACTTAAACTTCCTCCAGCGAGTAAAAAGTTCTAGAAAACATGCACGTCTTGTAAAAGTCAGACAACATCCACCAAAGCCGCAGACGACCTTTCTGCTCTTTAGAGCCGAACCCCGCAGAAAGGCTCAGGTGCTCGCCTGCTTTCAGGTCGGGTCTGTGTTATTTACACGTCCTACAAGCAGCAGGAAACACACCACCGAAATCTCAACAACGTGCAGCAGTTTCTGAGCTACTCTGAACCCATTTCTTGGTCTCACTGCATGTTCTGCCCATCACGGGGGGCTCTGCTGTCACTGCAGACTTAGAAAGTCCATCAGTGCAGCCACAGCAAGACATTCGGAGTTGAGGGCAGCCTCCCAAACTGACTTTTCTCTAGCCCTTCTAGGCACTCCTGTTGTCCCGCCGCAGGGTCTGGTACCCAGTGTGCAACCATACACGCAGAGCCGAGATTTATTTATTTCAGTTCTGAGCAGAAAAGCGTGCTAGGCGGAAATTCCACAAAGCTAGCACGCCTCCTTGTTTCACCTTACAATTTATACACACTTTCACCTCAGTATTCCTCCGCCTTCGACTCCTCCCAAGTATGATGTAATTTATTAGTAATTTGCATACAGTTACATAATTACTATGCATGCTCAGAGGGTGTCTATTGTTAATGCTGACTACTCTAAAACTAAATACAAACAAAATTAACTAGCTCACAGGTTTTCAAAGATGTTGAAAGTGTGTTTCACTGATGGGCCGTCCTTGCCTAGTTCACACCATTGGTACAAACAAGACCACCCCGTGGTGCCTCCTGGGGGGGGACATTCCTCTTTGATCGGTCTTGCAGAGTTCTTGTTCAAGAGCACAGCCATTAGTAAGGCAGGAAGGCACCCGCTGCTGACAGACCACCTGGTCCGTTGGACAAAACGAGGGGCCCCAAGCCTTGTGAAAAACAGGACAGAGCTTGGGAAAGAAAAAAATGGAAAAAAAATTCCATTGCCCGCTGCACACCACTCCTGCCATTTACTGCCCACGTATTCGGCTGCTGGTGAAGCAGCAGTTAGGACAGGCTGGTGTATCCGCCTCCCCACCGAGCACCCTGCATGCTGCGGTTCCCAGAGGAACAGCAGAAAGGTGAAATGCTCCGTTACTGATCAAGTGTTTCTGAAAGCGCGTGGTGTCAAAAAAAAAAAAAAAAAGAAAGAAAAGCCAGGACAACCTTCAGAGTCCAACCCTGGGACGGAGAAAAGAACCTAAGTATCACTGCACATTTCCTGTCTATCCATCCACCCATCTACCTATACATCCTTTCACATGACAGTATGGCACAAATGTTGCTTTATCTAAGCACTGATTTGTAGGACTACAGCAGAAGGGTTTGAGGGCCTAATTATAAGTTCAGATCACACATGAACTGGAATTGGAACGCTGCTATTGTCTGACTGACTTCACTGCATAAAGGAGTTCTCTCAGTATTTATCACTCCACACTGCAAGCAAAGTCCAAATGATCCCTCTCTGAGAACACTAAATTTAAAATTTATTTAACTGTCAGCTAAATCAGTAGAAAGCAAATTAACTGGGACAGAAGGAAAGTTAAACTCTAGACATCCAGGATGACATTCAATTGGGCCGCAGGATTAGGGATGTACTTTTCCTTGCAAATGTGCATTTGTGCAGCACTAAAACTGTTCTTGAGGGTTCAATATCTACAAACTTTAAAAATAATATTTTTTAAAATACAAAAGGTATCAAACAAAAGTGTTGGGGAGAGAGAAGTACACACCTGCATTTTTGTTAAACTCTAAGGTTTGGAAGACTATCTAAACTACCGCAATTGTCCGCTGGACTTTGTGATACCATTTAGAGAGAAGCTCAAAAGCTACGTAGAAACCAAATAGAGCAATTCTTGGGAAATAAAGAGAATGAGATGAACACGCATGATCCAAACAAATAAATAAAATTCTCAGAAGCAAGCCATTGTCTCATGTTTGTATAACAGAAGCATATAGAGAAGCATATAAAGTCCTTCGTATCTGAAAGCAGCGAAAAGTTCTACCTTGAAACTCTTTAGCTCTCATTCCATTCTGCCTTCAGCATAAGCCAACCCAAAAAAACAAATTATAATTGGGGAACGTTTATGTTTTCCCCTTTACAGTCAGAGCAGCTGAAGGTATGACTCCCTCGGCAGCGGAATCCACAAACAGTTCTCCACTCCCCAGCTCAGTGATGCTTACGTGCCTTTGTACAGGTAGTTTGCGTTCTGAAGCTGAGCTCTGCGATAGTATCAAATATAGGGCTGTCTCAACCTGCATGAATTTACAAGTTTTTCCTGTGTTACAGCAAACCTTCTACAAGTGCTGATTTTGTACAGGCTATACATTTGTTAAAAAATGAGGAGAGCAACATTTCTGCCTCATATTGTTGGGTGTTACAAAGGCTTAAATTTAAACTCCTGTTCCCTGAGCATTTTTCAATGAGTAGGTGGTAGAGATACGTGTTGGGTTTTTTTTCCTACAAGGCATGTAATACTACTTCAGGCTGTATAATTATCTTGTTCAAGGAGTTCATCACTGATTACAGTAAAAGTAACTTCATAGTCTTCTGAGGAGAAAAAACACTGTACTATTACTTTTTCTAACATGCAGAATATTCTCATTTGATGGTTACTTAGCGGTTTCTCTGGTCTGTTGTTATTTGTTCTCCTAGGTGTCAGAAATCATTTAAAGCTTAGTGCAAAAGAAGTACAGGCTAATACTCACATAGAGGCATTTCTGCCCAACGCATTAACAAGGGCAGGCGGCTGCTTATCGCACTGTCATCAGGCTGTCGATGATGGCTCTCCCACCACTAGAGTAGGAGGCACAAATATCAAGACCACGCGCCAAGGATAGGAACTATAGGCTCTAAGAACTTTTCCAGGCTTTTAATAGCAGCAAGTTAAAAAAAGTTACAGCTAGTTTTGAGAGTCACGAGTCTGGCTTTTACAGCATTCCCTTTTAATATTTGCAGTTACTGATAGTTCAAGACTATGTGACAGCAGGTTGTGAAGGGAACCACAATCTAAAATTACCGAAAAAAAGATCTTTTTAAGGAAGTTATTTTACATTGAAACGGGTGGGAGAACGCAAGTGTGGGAGACAAGGAAGGATTCTTGCCATTCAGAGAGGTTTCTACTCACCTCCACAGAGCAGAAACCCCAGTCTACCGAGCTTAGTTTTCCTCTTTAAAACGACAAGCGGCACGCTTGTGGCTCTCGCCTGCTTTCCAGAGGCCACTGCGCGTGGCTGGTTGCAGAGACGCGCCCCCCGCACGCCCCGGCTCGGCATCTGCTTTCTGTGAGCGCCATACAACGGGTTCCAAACACCAAGCGTACGTTCGATGCAGCCCCACCACGCACCTTGGAAGTGTCCCTTTGCCTCTCTAATACGCTGAGGCCGTGGTGGGCAGACCGGAATTTTAAGAAACTTTAAAGCAGGAAACAGACAGCTATCGTGACTCGTGCCAACAGTCTGAAAACCCTAACGATAACACTAACAGATTAGAATCCTTGCTTCATTCTTTTTATTTTCATGTACATAAAGGCAAAATGACATCACTCTTAAAAAGCACTGTCATGATTCATCCAATTAAGCAGTCAGCAGCAGAATTACCAAGACATAAATAGAGCCTGTTATAGACATTTATAAATACAACCCCGTCCCTGACAATCACAAGCTTTTCTTATGGGAATGTTTACTGAAGCCTGCAGTCAAGAGGATACACTGCTGTAATTAGGATTAGCTAAAAAAAAAATAATAATAAAAAAAAAATTAACAAAGTATAAACTGACATCACACAGGAAGTTCCATGTGGATTTGGGTCTCAGCTGCAAAACAAAGTGTATCAGAGAAATTCAGGCATTTTAAATCTCTGAATGTTTCACAATATCTGGGAGAGAAGAAAAGTTTGCTGATACTTAGCTAGTAAGATTCTGTGCCAAGAAAAAAAGTAGAAGCCTTTTCAACCTTGCATCACTGCCAATGCAGTTAACATTGTACTTCTGTGTGTGGCCAAGGGCGAAATACAGACAAGTACTCTCCATTGTGAATAGCGCTGAAGTTTCAGCGAGGAAGAAAACAAAAGCAAAATTCAGGGTTTTCCTTTCAAATCAAGGGTATTTTTATGGTGGGACCCATGTCAACAAGAAAATATCCTACTTTTGTTCAAGAAAAAGTGAAACTAAAGACCAAGTTGCAGTTGATGCAACAGAAAACCAAAACCAGACACAAATGAAAAAGCCCAAACCACATATGCTTCTGGAAGACGGACAGATTAAGTTGCATGAATGGAAGATTTTTCACTTGAGATAGTCCATACTAGGCACTTGATGACAATTTCTCATTCAGTTCCAGAGCTCTAACATCTCCATTAGCTTTGGCATTTTCTATGAGCACCTGCAGAAAAAAACAAATGATGAAAAAATGAGAATTTCATATTTTAATGTTGGTATTTTACCTGCAACCTCAAATGCATTTTAATTTCTGCCATGCAGTTTCCCTAAAAGATTAAGTAACCCATAAGCCCAGATAGGAAATATTCAACATTACCCATCAGCTTGCTTAAAAAAAAAAAACATTGGGCACTTAAAATGCCCACCCTGTAGTGACTTGCTAAACCTGTGGCCACTTGCAATGCACCACAACAGCATCATCTGTTACTTGAGGCTGAGACCAAGCTTGACAAGTAAGTTACCCGCTGGCAATGAAACAAGAAAAGCTAGACGAGACCTACCTCCCTGCTGACACACACTTGCCTCCTGTTATACATTTGTATAAATCTAAATTTGCCATAAGGGAGCGTTCTCTGTAGCTACTTAAATGAGACTGTGAAGGTATCCTTTTGCCTCCTCCATTTAAATCTACTCTTCCTTGACTTATTTTCCACATAGAAAAGCTATTTGCAGGTTTTCTGCCAGTTAAAAAAGCTCCTGCAACAGTCTAAAGTTCACAGATGTTCATAAGCTTCCGGCACTTCTCTTGTAATCTGATCCCATTACACACACTAAAAATGAAAACCATTAAGCAGAATCAAGCAAATCTCCACTCTAGCCATTATTGTTATTGTACTCATTGGTTGGGAGTACAGATGACTCTGCAGTAGGAAGTGCAATGAGATCATACCAGGATCACCCGAACTCACTAATTCTAGCTTTTTTATGAACCTGTGCATCCGTGTACAGATTTTTGTCAAGGCTGAGGCTACTGGACGTGTTGTACCTCCAAACGTACTTTGCTACAGGTTCAAAGTTTCACCAGAGAACAGCAGTTAATCTGGACAAAAAAGCTCACCGTGCCAGTGGCAGCAGTGAGGAGATTGTTAGGAGAGTGGATTCAGAGTCTGAGTAGCAAAGCGATTCCCATGACAAACGAAGCATCACATGAAAGATGCTGTGCGGACTTGTGAGTTTGACCAAATCCATTTGTGACGTACTGTCAACAGAAAATAATGTACCATTTACTATGTACTGAAAATGATGTACCATTACAGATATAATAAAACTCTTCAGTACAGAAAGTACAGCACTCTACTGTTCAGATCTTTCGGGTCAAGGACACCACACTGTTCCAGCCAGGCTAGAGGGAATTAAGATTTTAGGGCGTTAGTATGTCCTGGTAAAACTCTGATACAACGCTCCTCATGTCTGCTGGAGAGTCAGTACCAGAATTCTTGCCAGTGTGGATTAGAGAGAGATTGTACTCTCTGTTTTTCATTAGTATTGCATGAAGGAATGGAAGACTTTCAAACTGGATGCAATTTTGAAAACAGAGGCACGCTTTGTCAGTATAGAGTCTTTAAACATTGCAAGCCCTGGAGCAGGCGAGCTAGCACCTCCCTAGCCTCCCTCTACCCCACTTCCAAGTTGCAAGCACAATATTCAACGTAAACAGAATGAATTTCTGTAAAAAACGGACTGTCTTACATCTATTAATTCATAATCATCTTTGGCATACAGATGTCGCAGGAGGTACCAGCGTGCCACTGACACTACGGTTTCTGGATTCCCCGGCTGATAAACTACTCTTTCCAACAGTCGGCGCGTCTCCCTAGAAACACAACCAAAACATCATCTGAATCAAATGCAGCTGACCAGGTTGCATGTAACATATCAGTATCCCAGAGCAAACAACAACGATCAGGAGTAATAATATAAGGGAGGTTCTTATTTCCACACCACCCAAGAAAGTGAGGGAGCAGAGTTGCACATTCCTTTGTTTCCTATGTAGCTGCATCCTGACTGCTAAGGAACGCTGCCAGCATTGTCATGCTTAATAGATTACACTCGATTTAGTATTTAACTAGTATTTATCCCAAATTGCATTCCCATAGCAGGTTTTACGATTGCTACAATAACATGATAAACATCATGCTGTCTGCGAATGCAGCGCAATCTGATTTCAGTATGTGATCTGCCGGACACGTACTGCAGGTATTCTCCTGTTTAAGAGCTATGAAATATAACTTTCGGAAGACAGTGCAGCCGAAAGAAGCAGGTACTGCAATAAACCTTAATAATCCAAATAGAATTTAGTATTATACACAAATACATTTAATCCAGGCACTCACAAAGGGTACTGCAGTTCCTGCAAACACAGAGGCAAGATGTGAAATTGCAGATGAGAAGGAAACTGGAATAGAGTACTACACAAAGTCTAAACAACTATTTGGGTGATGCTACCTTCCAACACTGTCAGCTTATACCTAACCAAGACATTTTCAAATTCAATGTGTCCTTAGAAATCTGGTAAAAAACTAGCAGTTAAGTTTAGGGATGTCATATTCATTCACTGGTGCTCCATCAGCATTGGCTCTTGTTTCAAGAATTCCGTCTTTTATAACCAATGTGATTTTCCAGTGCATTGTGATTTAACAGGCTGTTGAGAGGTCATACTTGGTTTCTGTTTGCTATTTGTACTTGATTCATTTCTTGTTTCAGGATTTTGAAACGCCTAGATGAATTAGATCTTGTGATGCACCTTACTGTTCATGTAAGTTAATACCTGAAATTGTAGTAAAACTGATTTTAAATAAGTTTTCTGTGCAATTGTGTTACAAGCAACAACCATCAGAATCACATTAGGCTGCCTGTCACCTTCTTAAAATCCCACAAAGAAACTAAGCCAGTTTGTTTGAATTATCTACAAAATCAGGTGAAATATTTGAACAAAAACATCAAGAATAATCCAATTTTCCATAGCTTAAGAAAAATGCGGCAAAAGACAAATTAAGACTCAATAACCAAATTCACAAAGCAGGAGGCTTCCAAGCCCTGCCCCGCCCCCCTCCCCCAAGTCTTCCTCCCCTTCCTCAAAAAGCCACAACGAGCACCTGGTTGCTGGGGAATGAACACAAACTTTGGCTGTGAGCTCAATTTAGCATCAAAATGAATCCTAGCAGTAGACAGAGTCGTGATACCTGTTTTCCACTGTGCTATTGAACAAGATCTTCGAGCACGTATAGTCTTCCCGATCAATTTATTTAGGAAACACGCTACTGAAATAAAAGTTGTCTTCCAGCTGTTTTTCTGTTGGTATGAAGGTCATATACTTTTTTTTTTTTTCCAGAAAAGAAGGAAGATTCTGCTGCTTTGCGCTCCCCATGCTACTAATCCCTTCTCCCTCTCCCTTTTAGCTACCACACTACTTCAAGAACTAATTCCTGTTTTCAATTGTCTTTTAGTTCTCGGAGTTAGGTTTGGGGATAACGACCGCTTGTAGTTTTAGACAGTGTGTTCCATTTAAACTTAACAGGTCATGCATACCTTGCTCTCATCTTGCGATTATACTGCAGCAGTGCTTGAAGGAGAGCTGCCAGGGGGCAAGAAGAAAGTTTCAAAGCTTCAGCTGTTGCCTCCTGAACCAAGGATGGCCAGTGGTCATTTGAGACTTTAGCCTATGATAAAAAGAAAAACGAAAAAAAAAAAAAAAAAAAAAAAAAAAAAAAAAAAGGGCTTTATTGTAGTGTGTAGTGTAAATCAGCTTTTGTTTGCAGCTCTCTAGAGAGCAGGTTTAATTCAAGCTGTTCTGAGTTATACAAAGTATTTGGCAGGTTAGAAAGACATTTCTTTAAAAAAACCCCAAAACCAAACAGTGGTTAGAAGAGCCTGGAAAACTCTTGTTAAATATTCTAGGACCAGCCTTGCCAGCATTCCACTTGCTTGTTTACACAAAGAATCTTTTAATTTTTTCCATACATGATTTAGGAACGCTTGTTTTAGTCACAAAACCTTCTTTGCTCTTCAGCTTGTACATCTTCATCCCATTTACAAGACTACTCTAGAATGTAGAATTTCTCCCCAGATATGACATTGTATTTTACCAGAACTAAAAAACTAACTCAAGATGGTAATTACCTAATAGAGCAAATATTGAGCAAATCCCTGTATCTCTTGGCTTAAGAAAAATCTTATTATCCTCATTGTGTCCAGAGAGCATTTAAATGACTGTACTCTAAGGGGTGCCCAGATTTTCATTTGGAGAGATAACTGGGAGACAAGCAATTTTCAAACACAGAGCTTTCCTGGATCTGAGCAAGGTGTTAAGCAGGCTTTTGCACATTTCATTAAGCCAGTGCAGATTAGAAAGGCTGAAAGGAAATCCGCTCGTCAGCTGCTCTGCTCATGCAAAAAGTGAGATGAGATAATCAGATTCGTACTAGATTACATTTTTAAACAAAGTCTTGCATACTCTCAGACAATTCAGGCCAGCACCTGAAGAAGTATTAATTAAGTTAGAAGGTACCTTGCGACCTGTGGAGACATTTAGGAGCTGTAGGAAACAGTGAGCAGGCCGCTTAGAAAATGGACAGAAGAATCATGGGAGGAAAAATCCTGCCACTTGACAAATTCTGCTTTTTGAAGCATATGGCTTGTGAGAAAGAAACTTGTCTACACTGAGGGGGATTCTCTTTTCCCACCAGGAGCAACAGCTTTGCAGCTTTACCCTCGGTAAAACCGCCTGCCTTTTCTTATGCAAGCACTCAGGATATATGGGGTTCCTTGCCCGATGGTGGCTGCTAGCTCAATCATCTGCTAAAATACTCGAAAAAGCATTAGCCAAGATCACAGCAGTTTCTACGTTTTACATGAGGCTTTAAAGAAGTCTGCTAGAGCACTTCAAGCTGCTAGAGTGACAATGCTTAGAGAGAATAGACACTTGCCAAGAATTTCAGTTATGTTCACCTGGCCTCTCAGTGGAAGGAGTAAAATAATTTTCTTTATACCACAAGGTACACTTCCCTTAGATTGCTTTTGTACATCAAGGCATGGGACTATATCTAGAAACAACCACACAGCGTAAAATTACTTGAAACTTGACTGAAGTCTCCAGGCACCAGTGCAGGAAAAAAAATTTTTTATGGCAGTTGTCTGAACAAGAGGACAGAGAATTGAAGGACATGTCAATGTGGATGATCAAACTGAATCTGTTATTAGAGGATAAGCTTTGTTGAACGAGTCAACTTCTTTATGTACACAGTGGTTTTATGTGATTATTTCACAGCAACCTCTCTTACAAAGACACATTCTAAAAACAGTCCACTGCCCCTTGCAATTTCATTTCATTTTCTGGTTGTCATTCATAAAATGCAAAGTCATTCAAACAGGGGCTTCATTTAAAGACGGCAGAGGCCCTACATCTCATCAACTCCTGTTAAATCATGCAGTTATATAATTTTGATTATCCTACCATGCAGATTTCCAGCGCGAGCATAGCTAGCCTGAGCAGACTGGATAACTTCCCGTTCCAGCTGCCCTGCTGTGACGCCAACTGCAGACTCTTTCTGTAACACATCTCCGCTCCAACCATCATTCCTTGAGACTGATACACTTTTGCCAGCCACTGAAAATAAACACACAGCAAAATTAGTTATGGAGCCACCAAAACACACATCCATTAGGTAATACCACCAAGTCCAACTTATGAGAGTATTACAGGATATTATTATCTAAAACACCACGACGCACCCAGCCCTCATTCCAACAACACACTGCACAACGCCCTGCAGGAAAATGTGGTCTGCTGCAGAGCTGGCAGTGCTCCTCACTGCAGTATCGTATCTCGGAGTTCCCTTGACCACCCATGGACAACCGTTTGACAGCTGTCTTAATCTGGAGATTGCTCACAGGCGAACAAATTACACAACTGGCTTTGCGGAAGTCATCTTTCAGACCAGAGGACTGGTCTGTGGTGCCTCATTTGTCTCTGAAAGTTCTGTTGACATGAAAAGATAATTTTTCCTCTGGAACAAAGGTTTTTTCAGCCTATCCGAGTAATGCCAAGAACATGAAAGACATTACAGTGTGAGCCTGAGCTCAGATGATGGGCTGGGCTACACAGTTTCTGACCTAGCAGGGTCACACTGGAGGAGCCAGATGGGGCTAAGGAAGGAGACACTGGGATCTGTGCAGAGTTTCACACTGCTGCTGCCTGCTCCACCAGCACAAGATGTCCTGGAATTGCTCATGAAGAGAAGGAAAAAGATTCTGACTCCTCCCTCTTTAATTCTGTAGTCATGTCACATTTTTTTGAAGCAGATGCAGCCACAAATTTGCATATCCCTCACATGTACACAATATGCATCAAGATGCATACGCCACATTTAGAAATATTCTTTGCTGGATCATCAAGCAAACAAAGCAATTTCTTACTAAAAAACCAACTCACTTGCTTTTAAGCGAAGGTCTTTAGACTTTTGCTAGCTACAGACTGCCTGGTGTTAGAAAGGGCAAAATTCTTAACACTCTCTGATGCACAGAAGTTATTTATCTCTGAGAAGACACACATCAGGAAGTATTTATTATCACTAGTGGGACTGTGCATCCTTGACATCAAGCTGCAGGACTGCTTTGTAAAGTAAAACATCAATTTGAGTGCAGAAAAAAAACCCAACTCTCCTTGGCCTCAGTTCTTTGCAGCTGAAGACATCTAGCACTCAAGATGTGAAGGAGAAGAGGACCCTCATGCAAAGGCACAATGGCAACTCTGACAGATCAGCTTTTCTCTAATTTCCTGGTAATCCACAGCACAAAAGGTAGAACAGCCACCAGAACAGTAGTTCAGCAGCACTCCTGAACCTTGCAAGACAACCATTTAGACAAAAGCCAAAAACCTAAGCAAAAAGTAAAATTAATGGCCCCTCTAACTTAATAAATCTGTAAGGCATCATGATAGATACTTCTGATTAAGACAAATACATCTATCAAACTCTTCGGAAGTCTACAGCCAGAAAACATAAAAGCATGGATCTATCCATTAGGAACAGATGCAGGAGCCAGGCTTTTTCAGAATGCTATCCAAGCCCTCAGAAATATCTTCTTTAATTGAAGACTGAAGAGATCTCCCTCAGAAGTATCTTATCTGTGGCCTGGATTAAAAAGACAAAACAAAACAACCATCTCCCCCTGCCCCAACCACATACACTTTCAGTTCATTTCTCCCTGTTTGTAAGCAAGATGACACTTGGCTATGCAAGGGATGCTTGGAGAACGTACATAAGTCCTAATTCCATGTTCAAAACATATTACTAAATAGAGGATATAATCACGTCTTGCATGCCCCCATATGCCACAAATCCAACGCTGAATTGAGTTCTGCACTTCAGAAAGATGAAGTCTCACAAACGAAAGAAAAATGTGTCCAAAAAAAAAAAAAAAAAAGCACCTTTCCACAAATGATACTCTCATGTTCCAGAAGGGAAGAGGATCTGCAGCCTTATAAGTCAGATAATGATCTCTACAGCAGCCTTGATCTGATTTTCTAAGACTGAAATCTACTTTAGCGATCTTACCACAAACACAACTTTATTTGTTCAACAGACAGAGGTAGCACCATAAATCCTGCAACTACCTAAAGGACTCAAAGTTCATGGCATTTTTCTAAACGACATGCTGCTAACACTGGTAAAGGAAGATAGTATCTGTAACTAACAGCAACGGTTATGAATTAAATAAATAACTATGCTGCATCATCAGAAAGATCTCTTGGCATGTGTGAGACAGACTTCTCAGATTGTCTCAGACAAGCAGCATATGAAGCGATTTATAGCACCTCCATATCAACTAAAAATGATCTCTTACATGCCATGGAAGGGAGTGAGCGAACACTGTATTGGGAGTGATTTCTCTCCCCTGCAGACTCAACTTACTCAAAGGAATGGTGACACCTGATGTCAGGAGATTATAGAGAAAGAGACTTACTCAGGTTTTCAGACTCTGAATAAGGAATTGTATATTACTACATTAGGAAACCGTTCACTTCCACCTATTCTTATGGCTTATGAAGTATTTCACTGGCTTCTGCTCACACACCAAGTCACAGGTCCCAGGGGTCTATCTCTAGTTTTTAATTCTCCTGACTCCATGTCTCTTTGCTCTGACAGTCCTTATTAGTTCAACTACTAAAGAAAGTTAGCCTAATGTTACAACTTCATATGAACTGAATATAAGCTGTTTTTTCTGTCACTGGCTGTCAGCAGCAGTCAAATAAAAGCAAACAGTGAAACAAACTCTCACCCAGCTATAGTGCATACTCTGCTGAGAGCAGCACACCAAAGTCAGGGAGAGGACCCACACTTACTTGCCAAGCTGCAACTGAAGCTGAACTGGTCATGACTGACTTGCGAAGCTCCTCCAGGATGCTGTCTGGAAGTTTTTTGTGAGACTGCAACAGCTGCTTACACTGAACTTGTCTCAAAAGCAGAAACAGAGCTGGATGATCAGGGCAGCTTTTTAACCCCTAAAATCAAAACAAGGCTCAACATGGTACCAGAATAATCTTTTCCAAATATCAGAAGATACTTTAATTTTTCCTTTTCGGTTTTTACAGAAAACAGCATTGAAATCATTCCCAGGATGCTTGCAACATGGCATTTTCCTCCTACTCTGCACAAAGGACTGTTCCAGGGATTGACACATGAAAACAGATAGCATTTTTTCTGTCCTCAAAATACATTTGAAGTCTATGCTAAATTTTGCACGTGTCCTATCCATACAGGTTTCTGAAAGATAGACAGGCAAATGGCAGACCTCTAGTTCTTCAGTTTCACAATCTTGACAAGTTCTAGACTAACAGTGGCAAAAGCCTGTCCTGTGCTCAAGTGACCTTGAGTACGTTCCAAGCAATTTCAGTTCTCCAAGTCAAGGTGTTTTGTTTTCACTGGAACAGAAGCACCTTACTAAACCTTTCCTGTTTAACAACAGCAGATACCTATAGTGTATTTTGGGGGACAAACTCATGCACAGAAGCAAAGACACAAAACTAGCCATCTGTTGCTTTATCCTTCTCAGGTGAAGTATGTGAGGCTTCTGCAAGCCACATTACATGTTATTTTACCTGTGCAAATCACAGTACTTCCAAGAATCAGTACAACCAGATCTATTCTAAGAAGCAACACTTGTATTTTTTACCCATTTTAAAAAAAAACTAAATATGTTGTCCATGAGTCCTTAACAAGCTGCTGCTTTGCAAAGAATTCATGGACGTGCAGAGACTTTCTGAAAGACAACAGAAGCTGCTAGTATTTGCTGCAATTCTCCCCCCCTAACAAGTGTGGATTCACACTGCCTGTCTCAGTGTCTCACTGCAGTGCCTCATTCATCATCACCAGTGATATTGCTTTCTCAGAATCCTGGGGTCCAAAACTGTCAATGAGAGTTTGTGGTACCAGAGAGTGTTACTCTTGTTTCTTCATAAATTGCAGGCACTGACTGGCCTCTCCCCAAGCTATTTAACTAACAAAAATCAAACAAATCCCACCATAACCTTCTCTCATGCCCAGATACCACCCTGTAAGTCTAGAAATCTCTGATCCTCACTAATGTAAGAAAAGTCAGTAGACATGCTGGCCAGAACAGGTAAACACACCCTCACCAAGAAAAAAAAAGAAGGCAAAAAACACTACCCCCCAGAAAACCATGTTCACCGAATCTGTTTGGTTTGGCTTATTTGTTTTTTTTTTTTTAACTCCCTTCCCTGTTAATACAGAAATGCCATAAGCAAGGGGCACACTTGCATAGGATTAGTCATTCTCCTTAATGAAAATCAGGGATGTGTGCTGCTCAGTCAAACTGGTTTTTTGCTTCTTTTGCCAAGTCTTCTGTTCCTGAACACATGAAAACGACACTTGAGGCTTGTTAACACCCAAGTCCCTTTTCCCAATTGTGTTGCCCCAAGACTTTTCTTTTTAAGCATTAAACTTGTGGCTCTGAAATAGACTGTCAACACAACAGAGCAGAAGACATTTAAGTCCCTTGCAAGCCTCCTACCTGAACTTCTCGCCTTCAATTTCTGTAACGTTTTGCTTAATACTAGATTAATGAATGAAGGCAGGAAGGGCAGACTTAGCTTTGCCATGTCACACACGGCTTGTTTCAAATATTAACACAGTTTTGGTGTCGCAAGCAGAGTAAGTACCTCGGGGACGGCAGAAAATGCCAACAACTACTACATCTTATAGCTCTGACGGAACAGACAGTTACTGATTCAAAGATTACCTTTTTGCTGAATGCACGCAAATCATGATTTCTATACAATTGTACCACAACCTGCCAGTATGATGCCATCATACCTTGGTACAAAGAGCTTCAGCTTCTGAGAGTTTACCAGTCTCCTCTAGACTGGTAATAGCTTGGCACAGACACCAGTCTTCAAGAGTCTGGATATAACTATGTGGAAGGTTACTTTCTCCAGCTGCAAAAACAGATCAAACACTTAACCAGATTACTGTACATGCTGTAGTGCCATACCATGTCACATGATCTAGGTCTGGTAAGGGAGAACTTCTAGGAGTATTAACCTGACATGTTCTTCTTCATTAGTAGGAACATTAAGAGACAGTAAAATGAAAAGCAAGAAGAAGGGAAAAAAGAATACACAATTTGAGTTAATGGTTTGAGAACAATCAAACATGGTATTTTCATTCCAGTTTTCAAAATGCTACAGATGTTGAGCAAGACTGAGGCTGAGGTTATCCCTCCACTGGAAAAGTTAACAGAACTCCAGAGCACTTTAGCCTTTCCTTGTAAGCAGTGTTCCTGTGCTGTAATACAGCCATCCCTCCCTCCCTCCCTCCCTCCCTCCTTCCCTCCCGGCATCAGAGGTCAGAAGCACTATTTTAAAAAAGCATTTGAGCCTTTGGAGGGGAAAGCAAGCTGCGATTCAGTAATTAACCCTAGCTGTACATTAGGATTTAGCATTTTTATGTGATAAAATACAGTTACAGCTCAAACTATTATTGAGCAATTCTCAGCTTATTTGCAAGTTTCTGAAACTCAGAAGAGTACTGAAAGCTTAGAGCATTTCAATTTTATTTTATTTTTTTAAACTAGAAAACTTGTATAGCTTACTTTTGGCTGAAACTGTAGATACAAGTGTCATCTCGAGATCCGTTCTCTTTGGCTGAGTGTTGTTTAGACAGACAACAGTGTTTTCAGCATGACAGGCTGCCATTAGCACTGCCCAGGCAGCAGGATTATCTAGAAAAGAATGGTTAAAGGCAACTCGTGCCCATTCTAAATATGCTGGTCGTTCTTAGAATGGTCCTTACCATACTAAGCATGAAAACATAGACATCAATGGAACCACAGGCTGTAAACAAGAGACAGCAAGAACAAGGCAAGTCCTTCAATCAGGCCAAGGCAGCTGATAACAGTTTGCCTCTAACTAGTAAGATTCTTCAAATTATAAGACGAAGATGCTGTTTCTAAAGCCAACCAACGTATTTTTCACATAGCCACGGGTGTGCTAACCAAAGCTGCCAGCTTACTTCTGATGACACAGATTAAACTTGACTGTCAGTGCTGCACAACAGTGGCAGCAATGATGCCAAGACGCCACCCACAGCTTTCAGTCACAACAGACTCAGTCCTGTTTGACCATCAGCATGAAAGTTATGGCGATAGGTGCCTACTTCTAGTGTCACCTAATTCCAGTGTCAGCTCTACCCTGACCTAGCCCTGTGAAGAGCAATTATGACTTGGAAGAGTGGTCTCAGTCCTGAACTGGACAGAGCTCAGTTTAAGATTTCACCCAACTAAATTTTCATCTCAAAGATAATGAATTTTGCCAGCAAAACGAAACAAAGCTTGAAGATCTAACAAAGTAAAATGTAAAGTATATGCTTTTAAATAGCACTCGGAGCCTTCTGTGTATGTCTAGGAAAGTAACTGAAATTTTTAGTTTGCAGCCACACTAATGCATCCGAGCAAAATTACTGCAGAAGAAACAATGTTTTGGTATTTCACTATCAAGTACAAATCAGCACTTGAAAAACTCACCAGATTTGCACTTCATACATTTAACGAAGATCACCATTTAGCAATAGGAGAACAGTTGCCTACAGTTCATAACCAGCATACTGTAACAGAACATTTCCAATCCAAATTCTCAAGCTAGATGAATAAATCTCTCCTACTTGGTGTAGCATACTGACTCTGAGGGAACATGTGTCTTTCTTTTTTGTCTAATATACTAAATAATACTTATCTCTTCTTCTGTTGAGGGATTAACAAATTGGCCATGTTTTCAGAACAAGCCTTAAAACTCAGCAATTTTTTTCTTCTTCTCTGGTTTAGTTCCCCATGTCTAAACTTGGAATGACAGTTAAAGTTTCAGCTCTAAGCATTCTCCCCAAAAGAAACCAAGAAAAGTAGATTTTTTTTGTTAGCACAATTATTTTGCTTCCGACGGGTAAAAAAAAATCACTAGTGTGTTTAAGAACAAGAGTAACCTGGACAGAGGTGGATTGCCTTCTGAATATTTTTCAGAGGATTGTTTTTCTCATCTTCTAGCGCGTGACATCC